ACCAAGCCAGCCGGGGACTCTAGCGAGTTGAAGGAAGCTACCATCGACGAGACCAAACCAGCCGAGGAATCTAGCGAGTTGAAGGAAGCTACCATCGACGAGACCAAGCCAGCCGAGGAAGTCAAGAAGAATGATATGACTGAGCCGACAATTGAGACCTTTGCTGCAGAGCCCGTTGGCAAAGGTGAGTTGGAGAAAGACAAGACAGGTGACACACTCAGGAAAGATGAGGTGACTGAGCCGAATGAGATTGAGACTGCTGATTGGGAGACCACGATGGAAGCTACAAAGAACGAGGATGAAGAAAACATTGACTTTGACATTGGTTTTTTGTCTTCAAATTCAACGGTCAGCCAGGTGATCAATGCGAATCAAAAAAAATATAAATATAAAAAAAGTACAGTACAGCTCATTTAAATACAGGAAACAACCATAGACCATGGACCAACCATATTCAGCGGGACTTAGCTTGCATGACTCAGGTTCAACCAAGGATGTCAATGGTGAAGTACATGATCCCAACGCACTGCTTGAGCGAGCGCTTGCTGAATACCCGGACACGGAACGTGTATACGAATCTGCTGCCAAGGTGAGGTAGTGCTTCTAAACTTCCTACTCTACTAATTACTACTTTCCACTTTCCACTAACCAACTTTAACCAACTAAACAACTTTTTGTTGTTTCCCTTCCCCCCACTGATTTGCAAAGGTGATGGCAGCATCGCTTCTCAAGCATGACAAGGAAACTCCAGGTTCAACTATCCGGGAGAACTTGCTCAGCTGGCCATGTAGTGTCACTACTGCATCAGCTTGTTCTGGAACGGGGTCGTGACTTGGTTCGTACCTGAAGGATTATGATATGAGACGCAATGATAATACGATTCGATGATTCATATCATACGAAATTGTATATTAGGTTGTAAAATTGATATTTATAATTATGATTCTATGATTCTTCAGTGTTCTTTGTCATCTGTGTAGCTGGTAGAGTGCCTGTGCACCCCGCCCCAGGTTCGAGCACTGTGCCACCGTTGCTTATGAGACTCTCACTGAATTCTTTGACATCGAGAATCCAGACGCGGAGGCCTTGTCTCAAACCTGTTGGCCGATGTAGTTGTATCCATTGATAGATCGCCATTTCTTCTGGAGCGACATGTCACGAAAGACTTGTGGAATGCCAGGGTGTGATGCCGACCTTTGGTGCGGAGTGTGTGCCGTTCAAGATTGACTACCTGAAAAGAGAGTTTCCATCTGAGGCATATTGCATCTTTGAGGCTGCAACACAGCTTTTGTTGAGAGAATCAGAGATATATTGAACATTGTTTCTGATGTGCAGTGCACAGTGATTGGTGTTTGTTAGATGATAGCCCAGCCTTTATGAGAGCGACATGGAGCCATGAGTCTGAGTCACCATCATTCATCCCCAATGTCAAAGTCAATAATATTCAGAATCATATCATTTCATATCATAATCATAGCATTATCATTTATGTGAATGCATTGGCTAAGCCACTTCAGGATGTCACCGTGATCAAGGAGGGCAAGGGCATTAAGAACAAGGATGGAAGCCTAAAGCAGCGAAGGTGCGAGGTCCACAAGTCTACCGAGTGTGAGTTGCCTTGGGAGGTAACCCTCTTTGGTGCAGGCTTTAGTTGCACCAGCTACTCAAATCTGAACAAGGACTGTCACAAGAATGCAACCGCTATGGCTAGAAAAGACAAAGCTGATGAGTCTGAGGATTCTTGCTCTTTGCTTGTTGAATTTTTGTTCCCCTCCGCTGCACACCTTTGTTGGTTGCCCCAAGACATACTCAGTGTTTCAGCTGTGCAACCGTTCGCGTGCACTGCCTAAGGCAAAAGTGGCATCCGTATCTACCTTCGAAGGTTGTTTGGATATATTGGATGAATGCACTCCTTGGATTGCAATCTTTGAAAACGTGCAAAGCATTGATCGTGAGGTTGAAGAAGAGTTGTTATTTGGTTGAGAATTCAGAATAAACCAAATCAGAAGTTTTTTGTTTGTTCGCTGAACTCCATTGATCCATTGCTGAATACATACTGCTGTGTTCAATAAGTATTTCATGATTCATCGTTCACAGCTTGCATACATTTGTGACATACCACATATCACATCACTTAATAGATAACTAACTAGATTAACTATCCTGGATCACTTTTTCCATAAGACACGCTGCTAGCAATTCCACAGTCATAGCCGGCAGAAATTGCACCAAGGCAAACAAACCTAGAGGTGTGCATTCAAGAGATTGAAGAGCGAAATTATGCTGCTCAATCGTTTCTCCTGGACGCAAGCTGGTTTGGACTTCCCCAAAGCAGGAAGCGTGTGTATATAGTTTGCTTGTCTCTTTCTTGCAGAGAGATCAGTACAAGCGCTGTGGAGTTCTTTGACACTGTCAAAACACTTTTGAAGAAGGTCTATATCACTCCACCTCCTGCGGAATCTTGACAGGGCTTAATGAGACACAGTGATACTGGATACCTGGATGCTGC